CAAATGCTTGAAAATTTCTTCTTTTCAAGGGAATGGAATGGAGTACGTGGTGGAGGTTCTGTTTGAAGTTTTTGGAGCAAAAAGAGGCCCGGGGTGTCTTCCTGTTTGCTGCAGGTAGAGCACTGATTTTGCATTTTCACGCTCTGACATTTACAGGAGGACCTGCAACTTCAGCTCCCTCTAAAGATACCCTTGCCTTGTTGTCTTTAAAGAGAAGCATTTCAGGTTAAAAGAGATGAATCCTTAGGCTTCAAATTGCATTTCCTGAGATAATTATATTTTTTCTTTTTTAATTTTGTGGCTGCCTCGGGTCTTGGTTGCAACACACCGGCTTCTCTAGTTGTGGCACATGGGCTTAGTTGCCCTGTGTCCGGTGGGATCTTAGTTCCCTGACCAGGGATTGAACCCAAGTCCCCTTCATTGGAAGGTGGATTCTTCACCATTAGACCACCAGGGAAGTCCTTGCTGAGATTATTATAGCTATTCTAGCACCTTCACCAGAATTACTGGGCTGATCAGCATGAAAGGCAGTTATAATCCCAAGCAGTTTACACTTATGGGCTTCATCTGTGGACAACTTAACTTTCTACACTTAAAGACACTGTACCATAAAATTTTGCTTAAACACCATGATTATGCTTGGATCATACCATGCACAGAAAATACAGTGGCACCACACGTAGGGAAAATGGAAACCTCTGAGCGTCACTGATGGACATGCACCCTGACGGCATCTCTATGAAATCTCTGGTTAAATGCATAGTCTAATCCAGCAATTCTTTCTCTAGGAATTGCTCCTAAGAAAACATTTGGGCAGACAAATGAAGATTAAAATCTTAGCACTTTCATCACTGCATATCAAAAAGGTTTTAAAAAATCTAAATGCCCTGGACTTCCCTGGTGGTACAGTAGTTAAGAATCTGCCTGCCAATGCAGGGGACATGGGTTCTATCTCTGGTCTGAGAACGTTCCATATGCTGTGGAACAATGAAAGCCCGTGTACAGCTGTTGAGCCCACACTCTAGAGCCTAAGTGCTGAAACTACTGAAGCCCGTGTGCCTACAGCCTGTGCTCCACAACAAGAGAAACCACCACAACGAGAGGCTCATGCACCACAATGAAGAGTAGTCCCCGGTCACTGCAACTAGAGACAGCCCTCGTGAGCAACAAAGACCCAGGGCAACCAAAAATAAAAATAATACATTATTTAATAAATAAATAATAACAATCTAAATGTCCAACAAAAAGGATTTTTTGGATACGTTTATAGTATTTTAAATACAATAAAGGAATTAAGAACATGATGCAATTAGAATCAATAAATAATAAGATATCAAGATACAATGCCAATGTGCAAAAAGCAAATGTACTTCTATATACTAGCAACAACTAAAATTCAAAACTGAAATAAAAAAAACTTCATAATACATCAAAAATAACAATTTCCTTACAAATATTTTTAAAAGACATGAAAGATCTGTACAAACCATTATGATGATGAATAAGACCCAAGCAAATGGACAGATATATCATGTTCAGAGATTTTAAGACAAATTATTGCTAAGATATCAAATCTTTCTAAAATGATCTATTAAAAAATGATCTATAGATTCAGTGCAACAAGATTCTATAGAAACTGACAGGATGATTCTAAAATTTTTCTATGGGTATGCAAAAAACCTAGAAGAGCTAAGACAAGTCTGAAACCAAGTCAAAGCCTAACACTGCCTGATTTCTAGACGTACCATAAATCTACAGCAACAGGACAGCATGATACTAACGTAAGAGTGGGTATATACAGATACATTGGAGAAGAGAATGGCAACCCACTCCAGTATTTTGCCTGGAGAATTCCAGTGACGGAAGAGTCTGGTGGGCTACAGTCCATGGGGTCGCAAAGAGTCGGACACAACTGAGCGACTAACAACAACATACAGGTACATAAAAGGAACACATACAGTAAACTGATTCTCAGCAAAGGGACTGGAGCAATTCGTTGAAAAGCATTTTCAGTGATATTGGAATTTATGGGGAAAAAATGAATTTCAATCCCTTTCTCCTACCACAACACAAAAATTAATTTCAGAAGGATTATAATCCTAATGGAAAAGCTAAGACTTCTGGAGAGGAAAATAAGGAAAATATTTTTTTGACCTTAGGGTAAGCAGATGTCTTATATAGGACTCCAAAAGACTAACCATTAAAGAAAAAATTGATAAGCTAGATTTCAACAAAATTTAAAACCTCTGCTCTTCAAAAGACATGGTTAAAAACACAAAAAAGCAAACCAGAAAATGAAAGAAAATATTCACAATCTATGTATCTGACAGAAAGCTTGTACCCATGTGCTTCCCTTGTGGTCCACTGGTTAAGAAATCAGCTGTCAATGCAGGGGACGTGGGTTCAACCCGGGAAGATTCTACAAGTTGCAGAGCAACTAAGCCTAAGTGCCACAACTACTGAGCCTGCACACCCAGAGCCTGTGCTCCACAAGAGAAGCCACCACAATGAGAAGCCTGCTCACTGCAACTAGAGAAAGCCCCCTTCCAGCAACCAAGACCCAGCACAACCAAAAAGAAAAAGAGACAAATCTGTCAACGTTAAAAAAGAGAGAGAGAGAGAGAGAACAAGCTTTTACCACAACAACAACAACAACAAATAAATTAAAAAACTATCTGCAGATCGAGAATTAAAAGACAACACACTAAAAAACTTGGACAAAAGTCTTGGCCAGACATCTCACCAAAGAAGACACATGAATGGCCAAAACCATAGTCAGATACCAATTCATTATCACCTAGGATAACTACAATTGAATAGTCTGAAAACACCAATTGTTGGCAAGGATGTGCCATAACTAGATCTCTCACCAGTGTCTGTGGAAGTGTAAAATAGTTTTCAAAGTGTGAAGTATGAAACACTTTCAAAAAGTGTTTGACTGTTCTTTTATAAAGTTAAGCATGTATCCACCCTATACTCAAGCTATTGAGCTTACAGGCTTTATCCAAGAGAAACCCCAACAAAGGTCACCAGATTTCTTGTACAAACACGTGGACAGTGGTTTTATTTATAACAGCTAAAAATGGAAAACAACCCAAAGTGAAAGGAAGTGAAAATGAGTCATGTCCGACTTTTTGCGACCCCATGACTAGAATTTAATTTAGTATTTAATTTAATTTAGTTCTCTAGGCCAGAATACTGGAGTGGATAGACTTCCCCTTCTCCAAGGGATCTTCCCAACCCAGGGGTCAAACCCAGGTCTCCCGCATTGCAGGTGGATTCTTTACCAGCTAAGCCACAAACGAAGCCCAAGAATACTGGAGTGGGTAGTCTATCCCTTCTCCAGGGGATCTTCCTGACCCAGGAATCAAACCAGGGTCCCCTGCATTGCAGGCAGATTCTTTATCAACTGAGCTATCAGGGAAGCCCACCCAAAAGTCCATCAATAGGAGAATGGAGAAACATACTGTGACATATCCATACAATGGACAGTGGAATACAACTCAACAATAAAAAAGGAAGAACTACAGATACATCATCCTACAAGACGGATGAATCTCAAAAACATTTTGTTGAGCAAAAAAGATGCCAGACACGAACAGTATTTACTGTATAATTCCACCAAGATGAAGTTTAAGGCTAGGTAAAACTAACTGAGAATGATAGAAACTGGAATAGAGTCCCTTACAGAAGGATGGGAATTAAAATATGGAAAAGCACAAGAGGGAAATTTCTTGAGTCATGGAATGGTAATCTGTCTGGATTAGGGTATGTATACATTTGTCAGCAATCATCTAATTCTACATGAGAAGTCTATATCTCATTCCGTGTAAATATTAGTTTAGTTCAGAAATTTTAAAAAAAGAGTAAGTTAGAGCATATTGCTATTAACATAATGAATACAGCGTGTTAGAGCAGTAAATATAGCTTGACTGCACTTTTGTCTTTAAAAATCATTATATATAGGGTTATTTGTACACATGTATTATTTAAACATTAAAATACAAAACCATATCTATGTTGTATATAATTGTTATTATCAATATAATATAAATGCTGCTGCTAAGTCACTTCAGTCGTGTCCGACTCTGTGTGACCCCGAAGATATAATCACACATAATTATGTATGTATAATAAAGATCACATATTTATATATTTAATATATGATGATAATATCATCACAATATATGATGATATTAATACATTGATATATATTAATGTATTAAAATATATAATACATTAATACAGCTATAACATTGATATTGAGGAGGGCATGGCAACCCACTCCAGTATTCTTGCCCGGAGAATCCCATGGATTAAGGAGCCTGGAGGGCTACAGTTCATAGGGTTGCAAAGAGACAGACATGACTGAAGCAACTTAGTACACAGCACACAGAGCACAATATTGGTATTATACATAAATTTACAAAAAGCATTAATATATATATATAAAACTGTTGAGAAAGATATATCAATATTTGACAGAAAATAACAAAATTCGGTAAAGCAATTATCCTTCAATTGAAAAATAAATAAATTTTTTAAAAAGATAAAACACTAATATTTCCTTTTGGGTGCTGAGATTTCAAGTGGTTTAAAATTTTGTTTCTCAAGCTGATATTCTTTTCAAAAATTTTTTGTCGAGGTGACTTACTGTGTGTGTAGCTAATAAAGAGACATCAAATGAACACAGGAGGTCAGCATCCTTAATAAGAACAGCTGTCACATGATACTAAACCTCTGTCCCAAGAGCAGCATCAGAAAGGCTGGTGTTAGTCTTCCTCTTGCATTCCATCTGCATCCCCCGGTTCATGGGGATGAGACCACTGATGTGGAGAAACAAAGCTTGTTCTAACTGTGCCTTGCCCCTTCCCACTGTTTCACCCAGTTTCTTTGACCCTGACAGCTCCTTCTTCAAAACCATGTGAACCGAGCAAGAAACTGATGCATTGACAAGATGCACGTGTCAAAGTCCTACCGGAAGGTCTCATCTATCTTACCTGAAGACTGAAGAAAAGTATTCCAGTTAATGGCGGTGTTTGGCACTGTTGCAATTCCTGGGTCAAAGGAAAGAGGACAGAAGAAAGTTCACGTTGCTGAAACATAGCCAGTTATTTTGCGTTGACATTTTAAAAACTGTCACACTCAGCTCTCATACAGAATTAAAGCTCCGAGAGCTTCACTGAATTCCCACTGATCTCTCCAAGCCCCTGAGGTTTAAAATGACCCTCTGAGGGACTTCCCTGGTGCTCCAGGGGTTAGGACTCCACGCTTCCACTGCAGGGGGCACAGGTTTGATCCCTGTTAGGGGAACTAAGATCCCGCATGCCACGTGGTGTGGCCAAAAAAAAAAAAAATCAAATTAAATTAAAAGTAAGATAAAATGAGCCCACAGCTCCCAAGGTAAAAAGATACATTGCTTTCAACCCCACCATCCATTCCTGGGTCAAACTGTCTCTAGAACACAGAAAGCTTGAGTTCCTAAAAAAATTCACTTAGGTAACAAGTATCCAAACCACTACCAACTAAACTCTAAAAGAAATTATCGGGGCTTCCCTGGTGGCTCAGTGGTGAACCATCCGTCTGCCAATGCAGGAGCCATGGGTTCAATCCCTGGTCCAAGAAGATCCCACACACCATGAAGCAACTAAGCCCATGTGCCACAACTATTGAGCCTGTGCTCTAGAGCCTGGGAGCTGCAACTTCTGAAGCCCTCTTGCTCTAGAGCCCATGCTCCCAAACAAGAGAAGCTACCACAATGGGAACCCCGAACAATGCAACTAAAGAGTAGCCCCCACTTGCCATAACTGGAGAAAAGACCTCGCAGCAACAAAGACCCAGCACAGCCAAAAATAAATAAATAAAATTATATTTTTAAAAAATTACACAGAAATTATATCTGTATTTAAAATTCCTCATCTCATCCCTCTAAATCATACATGACTGCCTGCTAGCTGTGTCACTTCTTCAGACAGATTTTCGTTTAAAATGCTCTGAAAAAATGAACACTAAAATGTTTGAAAATCCAGAGGCAACATTTAACAATTTATCTTGAGAGTAGAAAAGATTTTAAAATGTATGGAGTATAAATGACGTCATTGAACCACCTCTCCAAGACACCTCTAAGCTGGCCATGCACACTGACTAAACAAACAGTAGCTAGTTAAGGGGTGCCCACCCCAAGCTGGCCCTGGCACAGAATCTGGGTGGGTATGTTCCATGCCCTCCTGGAAACCCTTAAGCCCTGTTAAGCAGGTTGAATCCTCCAGTTTATCCGGCTGGAAACCGAGGTTCACTGAGGTTAATCGGATCCAAAATGATTCAGTGAGTAGGTGTTAGAGGCTGCGCCCAAACCCACGTGGTACATCAAAGCCCATGTGTTTGCACCACTGTCTTCTGTGGCTACAAACCAGGGGCCATGGAGGAGGAATGGGAGGTTCAGCTCCAGACCTGCCCTTACACTGACACACTCCTTTAATACACACTGAGTCAGCGCATCATTTTTAAATGGGGGCTCCGAGAAAAGGTGTATTTGATGAGTGATTCTGCTGCTGAAATCATCCCTTTCACCACTACTGCATTTATACCATGACAATGAGATGTGTAACTCTAGAAGAAAGATGAAGGACAGGGAAGCCTGGCATGCTGCAGGCCATGGGGTCACAAAGAGTCGGCCAGGATTTTAGAATGAATGACAACAACAATAACAACAATGTGATGTGTATAATGTGGAATTGAACTTGTGACCCTGGGCTCAGCATTGGTTCTAATCTCAGCTTGGATTAAGCTGTGTTCTTCCTGGAACTATTGATTCCCTGGTTTCTATTGTGTGGGTCAGTGTTTTACTAGGTGTGTTTAGGAGATCCTGAGGGTCTCAGGAAAGAATGTCAGAAATCACAACCAGGGCAGGACCCTGGGGAGGGCAGGAAGAGTTGGAATGGAGGCAGAAGGTTCCGGGGCCTCCATCTCAACTCAACTTATATGGAGAAGCTCATCCTTTTCCTTTAGTGAACATATCACTGATAGAGTATTTGTACTCTATTAAGTGATCTGAGACCTGCATTTTAAATTATTCTTTGATAAGGTTCTCCTTTTATATCTTAATGATAAAAATAATAAAAATGTACCCATTTTACTATTTTCAAGTAAATCCCAGGCATCATATTATTCCATTTCAGTGCATGTCTCTAAAACATAAAAGACTTTTTTTTTTCCAAATATATATATTTTAAATTTCTTACCTTGACTCTGGACATAGATCTTATCCTTAGCATGCGGCTTTTGAAAAAGGGAGAAAGAAAAAGTAAATTTGATAATCCATTCCCATTGTTTCTTAGAAATAAAATGAAGGTCATAAAAATATCCTCTTGGAAAACATTGAAAAGAATCATCTACACAGCTGCTCATAGACTAGTTACTTTATAAGAGCAAAGAGTTACCTCTATTTTTAATGGGGGTTAACCCATTAAAAAATGCAGCATTTCTAAGATAAGAAGCAAAAAGATGTCCCTTAAATCAAGCATTATGCAATATTACAAATATCTGTAATATAGTTGCTATGTTAGTCAAAAAGCTATAAAGCTCAGACAGAAAACACACCAGGGACAAAGCCTATCAAGTGCACATCAGGAGCTGAGGCTGAAGGTCGAAGTTTTTTTTTGGGAAATGTGGTTTGACGATACAAGTCCTTGAATAAGAGGGAGTACATTCCCCACCTCTGGAGAAGAAAGGAGGAAGGGGCAGAAGAGAAGGAGGAGGAGGAAGTGAGAAGGAGAAGAAGACAAAGATGGAGGAGAAGATGGAGATGGAGGAAGAGATGGAGGAAGGGTACCAAATACGTTGAGAAACAGGAGGACAGGCATCAGGGGACAGATTCTTCCAGGAGGTGAATGGACTGGTCTGAAGGACCCTGTAAAGCACCTCCCCAAAATCCTCTTTGACATCAAGGTGATACTTGCATGATAACCTAGATATGGGTCCCCAGAGATAAACTCACTACTCCTGGTGATGTTTTCTGGTGGAACTTCTAGCACAAAACTGCTAGAGAGAAAAAGAATCCATTTCTCGAGCTCATATTGAAACAGTGACATAAATATTTTTAAAATCAGGGTTAGACCCCCCAAGACAGAAGTTGCAGGAGCCGAGTGAGAAATCCACTTGTAAAGGGCGTCAGGGTCAAGTAGGTTCTGATGGGTGTTTCTCGTAAGTAGCCAAAGATATAGTCACCTGGGTGAGAAAGTCTTAAAAGGTGCACTTTTTGGCCAGGAGGCCTAAATATCAGCTCCATGCATGAAATGACTAAACTAGGTAAAGAGTGGCCATCCCAGAAGTTGTCCGCTACCCTGAGCTCTGAATGTGTGTGTGTGTGCGCACGTGTGTGCGTGTGTGTGGTGAGTGTGTGGCGGGGGGGTGCTCTGAGTGGTCTTTAAGATGACCTGGAGACCATGTACTGCATGTGATCCTGGTCCACTGTGACCTTCATCCTCAAATCAGTTTTATGTTTTAGGAAACAAATTCAAGGTGAGGCAGTCCCAAGAAGGGAGAGATAATTGATGAGGAGAAGTAGAAGTTACCCTGCCCTGTCCCTGCTGGACGGGAAGTTTCTGGCAGAGGCACCTTCCAGCCATACTAGGACAACGGCTGATCAGAAGTTGGTACAGAGAGACCAGTCTCATTTCGCTTTTCACCTTAGCATGACATGTTACATTTAACCATCAGAGGCATCTGAGACCTCTAAAAGTCTTGCGTATCCTTCTCAATTCATCATAGAGGAGAGGCATTCCTTAAAACAAAAAAAAAACCCTTAAAATAGCAAGCCTCCAAAAAACCAAAAGGAAAAAAAAGTTTCAAAAACCTCTACTAGTTAAAAAAGATGTTAGCTTAAATGGGAAAAAAAATGTATAATAGTAACTAACCACTTGATGTCAGAATTTAGCTCAAAGCCCTAAAACATTCCTTTTTGTTTAATTATAATTTCATTAGAAAACTGAAGAAAACTGTATTGGAATGCAGTACAGGCTTAAGAGCACCTCTTCTTTAACCAGCCCTAAAGGCTACAACATTGGCTTAGAAAATGTCTATAAGAAGGATATTGAAGTATGGCCAAAAATACACCCAGATGGCATTTTAACTTTAAAGGTAATACAATGTGTTTGACAAAAACAGATTCAATATAATTCTATAAAAATTCGATTCATGAAAGTCCGGCAACGTGAGTTTATAGCCTTGCTACTGTTTTCGTTAGAACTGTGCTGTGCAATTAGAAATACGCAAAACCCCTTTGGGGACTTCCCTGGTGTTCCGGGGATTAGAGTCCACCTTCCTATGCAGGGGTATGGGTTTGATTCCTACTGAGGGATCAGGGAACTAAGACCCCACATGCCGTGGCAGCTAAGCCTGCACACCACAGGTAAGACCCTACACAGCCAAATAAACAAATAAATATTTATTTTAAAAAGATATGCAGTATTTTTAGAAATAAATAAATAAACCCCAAAAGCGCCTCTCAAGAAAGCTCTTTTGAGCACAAACAAGATTAATTAATTAAATGAGTATTTCAACTCAATAAACAGAATAAATTGACTCTATCTAGAAACTTCTGGGTCTATCTGCTAATCTTTACCTATGTCTATGAGGATTATTTCCCCAGAATCTGTTGAACCCCCTCAAGTCTGACACAGGCTTTTAAAACATGTCATAAGTGATATCTGAAGATCTTACCCAGGCAAATCAAGAAAATAGAGGCACAGTATAAAAGAAATATGCATCTGAGTTATTTTCAATCAATAAAAAGTGATCTGGCAAAAGCCATTTGGCTTATATTGATTTTGAAAATCATTCTCTATATTAAAATATTCTAAATACAAATCATCGTTCTTTGCTCAATATTTATTGCTGTTTCACTTGCCTTGAAATAACATGAGTTGAAGTCCTTACATATATATCATTTCCTTTGCAAGATGAGCTCACTGGTGAATAAAATGATAAAGAAGACTGTGTATATGTGTGTGTGTGTAGGAAGGGGGGAGAAGGAATATTCTCCATTTTTTCCCTCCATTTTTAATGTCTATGAGAAACCATTAACTTAATTTGACCCATTACTAGATAGAAAAAGCCAAGGCCCTTTTGGATAAATACTTATAAATATATGGGACTTTGTAACAAAATTAAATACTCATTTATGTCTTTTTATAATGGAATACCAGACAGATGGCAACAACAAAAAGATTTCCCAGTCTTTGAAATTAAACTTTACACCAAGTGGAAGGAACGATAAATATTATTGTTAAAAATCTGTGTACAGTTTCATCCTCTACAGGTGGAAAAAAACATTACTTTTTATTTTTAATTTCAATACAACTTCTGATGATGGGTTTGTTAAAAGTCCTCTTAAAGTAGTTATAAATGAGTTTAAAGAAATCTAAAACTCTCGAAATATATCACAAAACACAGAGGGCACTTTTCAGGTAACACAAGTCTCTTCTTTTCTCCTTTTTCTTTTTCTCCCTAGAAATTGTTCTTAAGCAAGGAAAGAAAATAATGCCCAGGGAATTCCTTTGATGATCCAGTGGTTAGGATTCAACTCTTTCACTGACAGGGCCCTGGGTTCAATCCCTGCTTGGGGAACTAAGATCCTGTAAGCTGAGAGGCAAGGCTAAAAAATAAAAAAAGAGTTAAAAATAAAAAGGAGGGAGCACGACATTTTCACGGAATTCCTACAACTGAACTAAGCCAAGACTTTTCAAGAAAAGGGAAAAAAAATCCATGAATGAGATGAGGGGAAAATATGAGAACTAAATTGGGGTCCGATTTCAGGGGATCCAATCTGGAACAGGCAATAAAAATGAAACTAAAATAACCCTGGGCAAAATAAATGTGTAATAGGTAATGTAGGCCAGTGACTCAAGAAATAGGAATGCCAACAGGAAAACCCCCAGGAAGATTAAAAAAAAAAAATACAGTTAAATATATGGAGTAAATAACGTGGAATCATTGGTGGTCTGGGGCTTCCCAGGTGGCGCTAGTGGTAAAGAATCTGCCTGCCAATGCAGGAGACATTAGAGACCTGGGGTTCGATCCCTGAGTTGGGAAGATTCCGCTGGAGGAGGGCATGGCAACCCACTCCAGTATTCTTGCCTGGAGAAGCTCATGGACAGAGAAGCCTGGTGGATACAATCCACAGGGTTGCAAAGAGTCGGACATGACTGAAGCGACTTAGCATGTATGCATAGATGATTTTATTCATGCACACACTGCTGATTTTATTCAGGAGCTTCCCCTACCGTTCCGTGCCTTAGCAATCTTTTGAATTAGAAGCAATGCTTCAGATCATGCCAAAAGTTTGTGCCCCAGGTCATGGGAAAGGTTAACTTAGAATCTATACTTTGAAATTGATGAGTTTTTCCGTCCTTTAGAAAAACTTTTAAACTTTTCAATTCCCAGGGATCTCACATGGGGGGGAAAAATGCAAAGAACACTTGCAGTTCTATCAAGAAATCTCTGAAGGAAGCCAATCTTAATAGAAGTTATTAGAAATGATTAGCCCCCTAGGATATGATCATTCCTTGAGCTTCCTTTGCAGCCTATTTGCAGGGAAGGCCAGCATTACAAACTAGGGTTTCCAAAGATGAAACAAAGAAAGCAAATGTTTCCTAAGTTTCCACTGTAGTAGAAGTTCTAATAAAAGATGTGGTCTGTGTAGCTTCTGTCAATGTGATTTTTCAAAGATGATCAGATATAAAGCAGTGGGCCATGCAGGAAGAAGAAGTAATAGGCAGGACAACGAACTTCAACAATTAGGCCAGAGGCAGCCCATTCAGGTTAGAACAGAACTAACACAGACATTGGCCTTTTGAGCTCACCTGTGCCATCAACCGGGCATATGACAGCCAATGAGATCTGTCTGGCTTTCTGTATGTCAACTTCCAAAAGAACTGTGATGAGTATAGGTACACAATGAAAGGAAAATTACTCTAAGTAGCGCCTAACTGCTTCCAGAAAGTTATATTTCTTTAAGGAGTGCCAAGGTAGGGTAGATACATGAGGGCTCCGGAGGCTGTGACTCAGTTTCCAAATTAAAAATAAAAAAAAAACACTAAAAAGTAACAATGCCAGGAAGCTTAGATCAGCACTAAACTCAGCAAAGAGTACCCATGTGACATGTTGGTTTTTCTGAATCTCATAATTTCATCAAGCAATACTGACTCAAGCTCATGATTCTGCAAAAATAGTTAACAAATAAATATTTGAATTTAGAAAAAGTTCTCTTAGCTGAGTAC